GGAAATACCTTTAAAAAATATATATGGAAATATGTGTGTAATGTATTTTGGGCTTGTTTGAACATTAATTTCTGTTTTCTATCTTTATTTCTGTGGCGTTTTCTTGGTGTGGTCCGCGGCTGTTTGCCACCTCTATAACACACAGATATATACCTAGAATTGACTTCATTCACACACACATACATATATGCTCGCCACGCTCACTCTCATTCATTATTAGAAAATATAAATTAGAATAAATTCAAAAACGAACTGTTATAGCAAAAAAAAAGAAAACTAACAAAGAAAAATAAAAGAAAAAAAAACGCTAAATGAAATGCTGAAACGCCACTAAGAATAATGGCAGTGGCAGCGAATAAAAAATATTTCGAATATTTTGTCCTTTGGCTAATGCTAACCCTTAGCCAAAGAAGTCAGTCTTTCTAATCAGCTCTAGCGGTGAGCATCTTAAAGAATAATAATCAAAGCGTTCGAACTTACAGCCACAAAATCAATATTTCGCGGAAACGGAAATCGACATTAGACTAATAAAATTTATATTTTTTACATAAAAAGGAAAATTAATAATTTGATATTGTGTTAAAATTTAAACAAGCAAAATTAATATCTAAATTAAAAATACTACCAAAACAAAAATGGGAGGATTATAAAGTTTTAGCGATTTATTATATTGTAACAATAAATATAGTGATATAAGTGAAAAGCACAATAAAGTTTTGATATTTAAAAAAACCTATAATAAATAATAGCTGCAATAACTGAAAATTAGACAAAAAATAATTAAAATCACAGGATAAAAATTAAAAAATAAAACACAAGGTATGATTTATTTTCGAGAAAATGCTAAGTGATAACATTTTTTTACCGTCACTAATTTCGAAACATCCCAGGGGCATCAGAGGTCATAAAGAGGTCACTAACATAATCAATAAAAAATGTCAACTATGGCTACACTATACATTCGATTCATTTGTGTGTGTGTGTGTTCTTGAAGAATACAATGTCCATTCAAATGTTTGGTTGAAATATTTTTCAATCGAATATTGAAATCGAAAATAACACAGCAGGTCCCATTGAGTCACAGCAAGGAGTGTAGCAATGATACATGACATTGATATCATCACCAAATTGGACCTATCGTTTACACACCTTTTGTCACAAACTCGAATACATAGACTGTTTTGCAGAAGATATAAAACTGAATTTTTAAAAATATTAAATGTGAAATATAATAATTTAAAAAATTGAACATTCACAAAAGTTAGAACAAATGTATGCAGGTCCATTTGATTTCACTGATATTATTTTATGGCCTATAGTTGAGGTGAATCCAGCTCGATTTAGCAATTAAATCAAAATAATGTACATTATCATTATTTCGATAATCGATCTAAATTTACACGGTTTTACCATAGAAAAATCCACTCAATACCTCGATTTTATCGAATTTCTATAGATATAATTTCAAATACATCGCCGTGATATGTCCGTTTTAGGGTAGCACCCATATAACGGTATCCCCCAATATCCGATGTTTTGGGAAGTTGAATTTAGTCAATTGCGATTTGGTATTTTGGTTTCTCATTGGTATATCATTGGTCCACTTTTGAGGGTAGCCAATATATAACGCTACATCTCAAACCTCAGTATTTTTAGAAGTTTGGGTAAGTGCTTCGACCAAATTGGCCGTTATTTTGGCTGGACACATTTTTCAATCGAATCTGCTGGTATTTGATATTTTGGGTTCTGGCTTAGTAGTACATTTTCCTACAATAAATTGGAAATATCTGTCCACTTTTTATCCCTATGTAACCGCTACATGCCAAAATTCGTCATTTTGGGCACGAGTTTCAGATAAATTGGTTGTAATTATACCATACACAACTATGTTGTAAGGATATTATAGCTTTGTGTTGCCCGCTAAATAATGGTCCGAGACCCACCTTTAAGTATACCGATCGTCATATCGATCGGCTCATGTGTGTCCGGCTGTCTGTTCATTATAATTTATAAACACGATAATGGCCACAGTTATGAACTAATCGTCCAGAAATTTTGCACGTCGGACGGGTTCTAACAAAAAAGACACCTATGGTTCTTGGTAATGATCGGTTAATATATAGGAGATGAAATGGACAAAAATCTTTATTTTTACCTGTTTTTGGCCATTCTACAAGTCACAATTGTGACTCGAACATCACGAAATTTTACAGATCGCATATATATTTTCCCCGGAAGGACATAGAAAAGTTGATAGTATATCCAAGAGTAGTTAATGCCAAATATTAGTTTGGAGAAATTGAATACAATTATTTTTTCGGCAGATGACTGTACTGATAGATTTCTCGTAAAGTATCGATCAAACAATTCAAGATTTATGTTCGTTGGAAAGGTGACATTTCGCAGTAAAAAATTATTTAGCTGTTTTTTGTATAATGGCCACACACACACATCTACAGTGACTCGTCAGAAACTTCGGGAACATGGTTGAGAAGTTTTAATGCAACCTCCAAACAGTCCGGACTTGACACCAAGCGATTATCGTCTTTTTCTTGCATTGCAAAATTTCTTATTGATAAACCAGTGAGCGGAGCAGTATAGTCGGACGGGGCCGACCATATAATACCCTACACAACTTCCACGAAAATCTAACTTTGCGTTATTTGTACCCTCTTGAAACCTGACTAAAGGTCAACATATATTACTAATATTCAGTAGACGAGGGCTGTACTTGTCCAGATTCTCTTTACCGTGGGTTATGTTAAGATGTTGGGCTTTCAATTGTGGCCTAAAGATGACTAAAAAAACACGAAATGTTAAGTTTTCGGTCCACTTCATCCCAAAATTATTATCTGATCATCACCGAAAGTTATAGGCGTTGTCCTTGACCATAACTGGAATCTCATGGAAATTTTCAAAGCGATCAGCGCTATATTTCCGCCCTCTAGCATGGTTTTGGGTTACTAAATAATGTCTGAATACGTAAGCACCTGTAAATATTTAAGTGTAGCTCCCACATCTGAGTACATACGACCATATAATTGGTATCAAATAAAAGATCAACCACTCCTCTTGGATATACTATCTATATACGCCATAGAATACAAATTTTGTAATTTTTCACACAAAAGTAAGGGTCCATTTGACCCGCTAAATATTGACCGATCTTTATCAAAACAGGCATACTAATTCTTTAGCCCGATCTAGGACCAATATTTCGCGGCGTTACAAACTTTTGGGGCTGCACAAAGCTATAATACCCTGACAACATAGTTGTGTAGGGTATAAAAATTGGTATATATCACCTACTAGAGGTTTTTGCAATGAAGGAGCAGGACTTCTATGAAAGAGACATTATGAAGTTACCTTTAAAATGGCAACAAATCATACAACAATACGGTGCATATTTGGCCCAAATCGGATATTTCGAAGCATGTTAAATACAGTCCTATAGTTAATATACAAATAATGGGTTTATTTTTCTCCAAACTACATATTGTTGTTTCTACGCGGATGTGTGATTTGGTTAGTATTACTATTACCACACTAGAACGCGAAAATGTCGCTATGAAATTCATTATGGCCCCATTGTCTATATTTTTCGGGTTTTTGAAGGCATTTTCCCATTGTAGGGACTGTAATTTGTCATTCTGGGATATTGAAGGGTAAACACACGTTTTTATGTGAAATCGCCTATATAGGTGCGCTATTTTAGAAAGTAATAAGTTTTTAACCGAATGTTCTCTTCGAAATGGTTATAATTTTGCATATGGGATTCCTATTAATAAAAATTAAATTAAAAAACCAGTGAGCGGAGCAGTATAGTCGGACGGGGCCGACCATACGATACCCTACACAACTACCACGACCTCTAACTTTCTGAGGATGTTTATTCCGAGTCTGAGTAATATTTCGTGATATTTGCCCCCTCTTGTCCGATTAGAGATCAACAACACCTCTTCCTTACTTTTTTTGGATATTCAGTACAGTCCTTCTAATTACTTGTCCAGATTACCTTCACGGTGGGTTGTGCTGTGATTTTCGGATTATACTCGACTCGAAAACACACAAAAAATTAAGTTTTCGGTCCATTTCATCCCAAAATGTTAATCTGATCATCGCCGAAAATTGTAGGCGTTGTTCTTGACCATAACTGGAACTTCATGAAAAATGTCAAAGCCATCAGCGGGATATTTCCCCCTCTAATGTGGTAATGGGTTACTAAATAATATCTGAATACTTAAGCACCTGTAAATATTTGACTGTAACTCCCACATCTGAGTAGATACATCACTATATTTGGTATCAATTTAAAGGCCAACCACTCCTCTTGAATATGCTATCAACTCCTCGGGTCTACATCCTCTAGGAGTAAATATATATGCCATAGAATACAAATTTTGTCATTTTTCACACAAAAGTCAGGGTCCATTTGACCCGCTAAAAATTGACCGATCTTTATCAAAACATGCATGCTTATTCTCTGGCCCGATCCCCTTCTCCATGCAAAAATTCGCAGTGTTTGGGCCATAATTGCGGCCTCTGGAGCGACCAGAAAAAACGACAAAAATAATGTTTTTGGTCCATTTCATCCCCTAAATATTAACCGATCTTTTCCAAAAACAATAGGGGTCTTCATTGGCCAGAACCCATCCTACATGCAAAATTTCGTGAAGATTGGTTCATAACTGTGGCCTGTATCGTGTTTACAAATTATAATGGACAGACGGACGGACGGACACACATGTCTTGATCGATTCAGCTAGTCGAGATATGACGATCGGTATACTTAAAGGTATGTCTAGGACCAATATTTCGCGGCGTTACAAACATTTTGGGCTGCACAAAGCTATAATACCCTGACAACATAGTTGTGTAGGGTATAATTAACATGCAAAATCGACTACTATATAAAAGTCCTGACAGATTTAAGGGATTCTAAATGCACGCCACATGGCGTAGGGTACAACAAATTTGGCCTGATTGATGGACCGAAAAATATGATTGCAATTCTCAAACCAGTGAGCGGAGCAGTATAGTCGGACGGGGCCGACCATATGATACCCTACACAACTTCCACGAAAAACTAACTTTCTGTGGATCTATATTCTGAGCTTGGGCAATATTTCGCGATATTTGAACTACTGGACCAACTAGAGGCCGACAATTATTACTAATATTCAGTACACCCCTTCTAATTACTTGTCCATATTCCCTTCCCTTGTGTTGTGATGTTATTATTCCCATTGGAGTCTATAGATCGACTCGAAAAAACACAAAAAATAAGTTTTCGGTCCACTTCATCACAATATAATTATCTGATCGTCTTCGAAAATTTTATGCGTTATCCTTGACCATAACTGGAACTTCATGGAATATTTTAAAGCGATCAGCGCTATATTTCCGCCCTCTAGTGTGGTAAAGGGTTACTAAATAATATCCGAATACATAAGCAACTGTGTTTGTGCAACTGATGTTTAAGTGTAACTCCCACATCTGAGACATACGACCATATAATTGGTATCAATTTAAAGGTCAACCACTGCCCTTGAATATACCAACAACTTTTCGGGTCTATGTCCTTCAGGCGTAAATCTATTCGCTATAGAATACAAATTTTGTAATTTTTCACACAAATGTCAGGGTCCATTTGACCCGCTAAATATTGAACGATCCTTATCAAAACAGGCATGCTTATTCTTTGGTCCGATCCTCTTCTATGGGTCATAATTGCGACCTCTACAGCGACCAGAAAAACCGATAAAAATTAAGTATTTTGTCCATTTCATCCCCTAGATATTAACCGATCTTTACCAAACAATAGGGGTCTTCATTGGCCAGAATCCACCCTACATGCAAAATTTCGTGAAGATTGTTCCATAACTGTGGCCTGTATCGTGTTTACAAAATATAATGGACAGACGGACGGACGAGATATAACGATCGGTATACTTAAAGGTGGGTCTAGGACCAATATTTCGCGGCGTTACAAACTCTTGGGGCTGCACAAAGCTATAATATCCTGACAACATAGTTGTGTAGGGTATAAATATCTAACAGTGGTGCTACCGTTATATGGGGCTATAACAAAACGGAGATCAATACAAAATACCAATTGACAGCCAATTCGGTGGAAAACGTATCCTCACGAGCTGTACGTAATGGTTGGGCATTTTCCCCGATGGAATGATTCGTTCAATATTGCTCTGACTATCCTCTCTCCATTCTTTGCATATGAATCATTCACCTGAATTGATTATAGTTAATGGTGAATGTTTGACTGCTTCGATATTTAATCCCCACATCAGATCTTATATTGCTTGTATTTCCATTATATCCTCATATGGATCACAGATGGGGATATTCAGCAGCCTATCGCTTATGTTTCTCTCTATGAAGAATGTGAGACCCCACAATCGTTTCGGCACAAACTGCATTCGGGTGGTAATTTTAGAAAACAAGGGAGATCTTCGCGATTTCATTTATCCTAGATTATACAATATCTAAGTATGTACAGAATAACGTGTTAAAATTTGGAACCGATTTGGTTCTTAGTTCTTCAGTTATCGCCATTAGTAAAAACATACACATTTTAAAATTTGAGAAGCAATTTCTGCCTTAGCATGATGCTGACAAAATAAATCGGCAATATATTTAAGAGTTGTTGAGAGTTTCACTTGAAATTTTATAGGGGCATTCTTGTATTAGTGTAGGTTCGAATGAGGAAACAAAGCTACAGGTTTATTTTCAATTCTTGATTTTTGAGGTGTTCTCCAATCAAGTATTTAATAAAATGCAAAATGAAACTTTAAATACCGATGCAAGAGGATGGCTTGGTTAACCTCTTGCTCTGGCCGCCTACTAGATATGATATACTGTTCGCTTTTTATTCATAATTTTTCTTTTCTCGTTCTCTTTTACCATGCAGAATACATCAACACCCACTGGGACAACACCACCAGCACATCAACTATCAGTTACATGGGCTACACCACCGTGTGCTGCAAGTAGTAAAGAAATCAAAGGAAAACCTTGTACACCCTTGCCCGGAGCTATTGCAGCAGCCACAGCATCAACACCAGGTGTCGGAATTGAGTTCAACGATATAGTTCAACGGAAAAGGTAAAAAATAACGCCAAAAGCGTAACACAAAAAAGAGAATATTTAATTAGAAAAAGAGATACAAAATAGTCAAGTTGATGTACGAAAAGAATAAATGACGAAAGTTATTGCGCAAAAAAAAAATCGCACACCTTAAGCGAAACACATTCAAACAAATAACGGACCCCTGAGGCACAGCCTATGAAGGACTCTCAAACTCATACGTAACGACGGTACTGCAGTGATATGAATATTTAATGAATGACAGCTGTTACGAAAATTATCTGTGAAATGACGGTTTCCCATTTTCGTAGTGGTTGAGGTTGTAAGTGTTAAGCAAAGCCATCTATTTGGGAATTCATGACAAAATTAATAACTACATCAGGTGGGACCAAGGGATAATTAAGTGGGAATATTTGCCTCGCGTTTTAAATGTACTACAATATTCATAAAGTATGCTTATAGGAAGGTCGAAATTCCTTATAATTTTACACGTGTAAGGGGGTTCTGCAAACGATGTTGTCATAATGATCACTCGACTTTCAATCAGCCAACACTTTTGTGTGAAATGGTGTTCATTAGATTGTCAAATGTATGATACATGGATTGTTGGCCTATAAATTGATACGAGGCCAAATTAGCTTTTTAATACACAATACCGGCCCATTTAACGGTCCCGTTCAATGTTCGGTATATTGAAACTCGTAGCCGTATTTTCCAATCGATGCGACTGTAATTCGGTGTAAAGGGTTCTGGAAGGCTTAGGTATATAGAAAATTTGTGCGGTTTATATATAAGTCATAGTTTGATATAACCCCGCCCAAAAGTTCCGCTTCTTTTCCGATATTAATAATTTTTAAGCGAATTTTCTCATGGGTGAGGCTATAATTCGACATATCCTGTGTCCTATAGTTCGACATTCCTATGTCTGTAATTTGGAACACTATTTTTCGGAGCTCGGAGCTCACTATATCATGACACCGTAAAATAGTCCCATATAAATGTCCTTATCGACATAAAGAATTTTTAATGCACCCCGCGTGGTGAATTGTTTGAAAAGTTCGTCCCGGCAGAACTTAACCAGTTTTTGACTTGTATTTGTTATGTTTAAGTCAGCCCAGTTTTCAAAATTTAGTGGCTGTATTTCGAAATTTAATTTTCCAAGAGTCTCAACTTTTTAAAGAAATTTTGAATGTAAACCATATGGTGTACTGTTTTTCTTCTTCTTTTCTAAAATAATTTTGAACCTATTTCTTCTCCGAGGAAGCCTTTTATTTTTTTTAAATTCGGAAAAGACAAAATGCAGAAACTTCATAGTATCCAAAAGCCCTTAAAATAGAGACGGACTACGGAGCTATATTGCAAACTTTCTGCCATGGTACGTCTATCCGATAACAACAACATTTTGCATGGAGGACCGAATGGAGTCCGCAGTTGTGTGTTCTATTTGAGGTGCTCTTACCACCTATACCGTGATGTATATAGTCAACATTGGTACTTCTCTTGCGGGTTTCCATAGTGGTGCGAAATTGTACTTACAAAGCTTTTGTTTGGTTTCATTTTTCCTGCCAAAAATAATATCTAATAAACATTTTTTCATTTTAATCCCAATTCATCCAAAATAAACATAACCAATAAAATGTTTTATTCTCTTTTTATGCTACGCATCATTTTTCTTGTATATTATTACCTGAAACGCTTATTACCAATCAACTGCTGTTAACTGTAACGTCTAAATATAATCCGATTTGAATTAATTTTTTTCTTTTATTCAACAATTCCTTTGAAATTTAATATCGCCACGATTAATTCTGTGTATATTATGTTTCCATTTCCTTTATTATCACCAACAACAATGCCACTACCAACACAACCGTAACACCACCATATCCACCTAACAACGGACGCACCAAACCGGATTCGACGAACAATTGATTTATCCCAACACAATGGTAACAACAACACTAACAATGGATACAACAAAGCAGGTCACCAGAAGAGAAGCCAACCGACTACACATTAAGTTATGCTGCCAGTAATCTCGCAAGTCCTGTAACCGAACAATTTATCGGTGAGTATCAATAGCTAAGCGGAATGAAAAACCACACATATTAAAATGGGTAGTAGAGAAAAATAGGATATTTTGTTATGAATATTACAGCGCATTCGGAAAATATGCGATGAAAACAAAACATCAAAATTGGATGTTCGCACAGCTTCCAATCCAATTAATTCGAGTAAGTACTCATAGAATTGGAAGCTGAGCGAATTTCATTTAAATACTTAACCATAGATGCAACTTTTTTCCGATCAACTGTAAATTCTTATCAAGCGACGAATTTTGAAAACATAAAAAGTCATAATCAATTTAATTTATAATCCTTCATTTTACACCACGAAATTTTCGTTGAAGACGTTATATAGTCTAAATCGATTCGCATCGGTCTTGTGCATCTTCTCCAATTTGAAATGCCATATTCCGAGATGGTGTCTTCTACTTGATCTTTTCATATAATTCCTGGCCTTCCCCTTCTGCGTGAAACATCAATAGGCTCGCTTTTATATGACTTTTGATCTGGGACATTCTCATTCATTCGCACAACATGGCCTAGCCACCATAGTCGCTGCAGCACGATACGACTGACTATGTCGATGTCCAATAATGTTATTGACCATATTGTCTCCTTTTTTGTGCACAGGACACAGGATGCTGAGGTTCCAATCGTTGGCATGTATTCCTCTACCCAGATGCTGGTCACCAGTCTTGAATAGTTCTGCTGGTAACCCATCGGCTTCTGCTGCTTTATTACTCTTCAGCCGATTGATGGCTATTCTGACCTCATCTTGGCTAGGTGGTATACACTCTATACCATCATCTCTTATTGGTTCTGAGGCGTCTTCTTGACCGGCACTATTTGATACCAGAAACTGCCCCTTCCAGATCCTCAACACGCTGTCTGTATCTGTGCCTGCACCAAAGCCTTCGGTTTGGTGTTTTACTCGTTGGTAAAATTTCCGGACTTCATACTGACTCCTGTACGTCTCGATTTGATCACGCTCACGTTTTTCTTGTTCTTTCTTCTTTTTTTCCGAAAACTCGTTTCTCCTCTCTCCTTTTCTCCCGATAATTCTCCATCACGTTACGTGTTGCTAATGTCTACAGTGTTGCCCTATACGCTGCGTTTTTCATTGCGTACCATTCTTTGTCATTGCCCTTCTATACTATTATCGGGACAAGAAGTGTTTGCGTCAACCAGGTGGGTAAGTTGAGCGGAGTTGGCATCTGTTATCTGTTGTGTTTGCAGCTTTTCGACTTCGAGTTTCCGTGTTGTGTTAGATCATACCTTTGTTGCTACATTAAGACGACGGCGAAACTTGGTTGCTACAAGGTAGTGGTCCGAATCGATATTCTCTCCTCGGAGCGATCCAAAGTCTAATACACTGGATGAATGCCTTCCGTCTATCACAATATGATCAATTTGATTTCTCGTTGCTTGATCAGGAGAAATCCAGGTGGCCTTGTGTATATCGAGATGCTTAAATCTGGTGCTGCTAACTACCATATTTTTTGCTGCCGCGAAGTCAATCTACCTCATGCCGTTGTCGGATGTTTCGTCATGGAGGCTGAATTTTCCGACGGTGGGGCCAAAAATATTTCCATTCCGATTTTTTGCATCAAAATCTCCTAGCAGAATTTCAATGTCATGGCCAAGGCAGCGATCATATGTTCCAGGTGCTCGTAAAACATGTCTTCGGTCTGCTAGTCTTTGTCTTCCGTCGAAGCATAAGTGCAAATATGACTGATGCAGAATAACTTCGCTTTTATACGAATTTTAGTAATTCGCTGATCTACTGGAGTCAACCTGGAGACGAGGTCTTTTATTCTTCTGTTTACCATAAATCCGCAGCCATATTCATGTCTCGTTTCATGGCAGCTATAATACAGTGTGTAGTCATCTGATTTACTTACGCCTGCACCTTTCCATCGCATTTTATGTAAGGCAATAATATCGGTTTTGTACTTCTTGAGTATATCCGCCAAAGCGAAAACTGCGTGCAGTGCAGATTACCAGGAGGTAGTCAACATTAGGGAGGTTTGGTTTGGTTTTCATTGGTTTGGTGTTTATTTTTTTGTTCTTATGGGTGAACTCACTCACTCAGCTCACTATTCCAACTGAAAAGAAAGAAAATAGCTACTCCAGGTGACACCGCGGGGAGGTCAACGTCCACCTTTGAGATGAAAGAGGGACCAAGGTAATCCTGGGTTTGCCCTGGTAAAATCAATCAGAGCCGTTGATTGGTATATATTATCCCCTATTACCCACATTAATATTTATGTAATTGTACCACCATCCTAATATTGTCATGAGGGAATTCGTGATGGTATTATAAATCCAATCGACAGTTTTTAATCAAATAAAATCGTATAATGCTACATTCTTAAACAAGAAAATAGAGCGCACATGCGTCAAACGAGGTGTTTCACGTAAGAGGGTGCTTTCAGTATTAAATCAATATTGAAAGGACAAATTAAAGAAATAGTGGATAATATATGACAGTTCTATTTCAAATAAGAATAAAATCGATCTTGAAATACGATTTCAATCTGTGTTGAGGGAGTGATATGCATTTCTTAATATTTTTCTGTTACGAAACAAATTTAATAACCAAGAAGCTGTACAAGTAAATCTCAGCAGTTCGTTTTACATTATGTTTTTACCAAATCGGAAACTCCATTCGTATAATATGAAATTTAAAAATTTTCAACATGTTGACCCTTTGTGAGGGAGGTACCGGAAGACGTAGACCCCTAGATCTCAACTTTGACATTGATCTGAGTTTGGTAAAAATACTACGATGTGTATATAACGGACTGGAACATTTCATATGACCCCACATAGCCTTTACAAGACTTGTACACAATTCTTGGGAAATTATATTATCCACGAACTAACCGACCAAAGAGGGTTTGAATGGAAAAGTCTAAAGGACTTCGCTAAGACCACAGAATGCTTACAAGTATAGGACGTCCAATCTTGTAAAGTATTTCCTCCAATTCTCCTTCCTTTTTAGAGCGCACAAGAGGCCGTTCACTGGCTTAAGGATTTGATTAATGATTTCGTTGGAATATTAGCAAAATAGCGGACCTAGGAAATTTATTTATTATTATTTATTTATTTTTTTTTTTTTTTTGTGGAAATCACTTAATTTTGACCAAAACCAAAGATGGTAAATAGGGAAAATCTTCACAGATTGGATTTATCATAGTTCATACGATGGCACAATGGCTAGCTATATCTTCAAGAGTTCTTGAGATTTTGGACTGGAAATTTTAATGAGACATTCTTGCGAGGTTGTACTTTCTAACTGAATAAACAGCTTGAGTTTTTGAAACCAACAATGGGGGGTCCTCTTAAATGTATATCATATTATTGGATATGTGGTGGCGTAAACCACCCCCGTTTTCAACCTAACCTAACATGAGTAAGGTTTTTGGTATTTAAAAAAAAATATCATTTGAGGTCCATGTTTTGGGTTTTGGATGCATTTTCTAATCGAAAAGGCGCTAATTCGGCATTTCGGTGTCATTATCGTTATAGGTCCATTTTGTGGCATAGCTCCTATATAAAGGTCCCATACGAATTTCGGTATTTTGCGGCCACATTTTTGTCCGAAAACTCTTCAATTTGGCATTTCGGGATTTTGAAAGCTGTCACGCATCTGCGCAGAAAATAGTCTTCATAGGTCTTTATATGCTTTGAGATAATCCCCATATAAAGGATCCACACAATTTTCGGTAGCCGCATTCTCCAAACGAAGTTTCTGTGATTTGGCATTTCAGAAATTTGGGGGCTGGCATGTGTTGACATAATCCCTATATAAGTAGTCCGCCCTATTTTCTGTATTTTGAAGGGTTTTAGCCACAATTTCCAAATTTTTCTTCTCAGAAAATGTTCAATATAGGCCAATATTTGTAAATACATATTGAGGTCCCGCCGGTCCAAACCAAACCAACTTTGTAAATTTGTAATCTATATAATTATAGGTAGTCACACTACGCTAGTTTTAAGCTTATTGTTTTTTATGTTTGTTATTTAAAAATCTGAAAACTTCCCTGAAGATGAAATTCAATGAATTTCGAAATATCGGAAAATAATAAATAAATACAATTATTGACCTCAAGCTTCAGCCATCTATAATGTAATCTATATATATTAATATATTATTAGGTTTAGAAAAAAGAAATCCATTAGGCCGGTCGTCGAAAATGTCGATAAAATCGGAGAAATTATCGAAGTTGACCGGCATGTTAGCAGTCGTAACATCGCACAGGAGCTAAAAATAAAACTGTTTTAAACCATTTACATAAAGCTGGATTGAAAAGGAAGCTCGATGTTTGGGTGCCACACCAATTAACAGAAAAAATAGTATGATCGAATTTCTATCTGCGAAGCCTTGGCCAAACGAAATGAGATAGACCCATTTATTAAACGGATGGTACTGGAGATGAGAAATGGATCACATACGATAACCCTGTGCGAAAACGATCGTGGTCAAAGAGCAATGAAACACCTCAAACGGTGGCCAAACCACTGTTATGCATTCGGTGGGACTGGAAGGGGATTATTTATTATGAGTTGCTTCCATATGGTCAAACACTAAATTCTGATCTCCGTTTGGAGATAGCAATTGACCAGAAACGGCCAGAATTTGCCATTAGGAAAGATGTCGTGTTCCACCAGGACAACGCTAGGCCACACAAATCTACAGTGACTCGCCAGAAATTTTGGAGGCTTGCTTGGGAAGTTTTAATGCATCCGGCATACAGTCCGGACTTGGCACCAAGCGACTATCATCTTTATTGCATTACAAAATTTATTTAATGGTAAAAGAAAGGAAATACATAGTTATATAAATTGCACCTTATGGTTTTAAGGGTATACAATTATTCCCAAAATACCTATATTGGTATCGGATATTTTCTGTGAGGGCTATGCCAATATCATCGAAAAATAGGGGAAACTTTATATGGGGCATTTTATAACATGCCTAAACCTAATAAAATTCCGAATATTAAAGGGTACGATCATATGGGGGCTGTACCAAAACGTGGCCCGATATATCCAATTTTAAAGGGATATATATAATTTATGGGATCTCCGGAGAGGGTATAAAAATTACGAAAGATATAATAACATATTACACAATATGGTAGTGGGTATTAAAACAAGCAAATTCAAATGAATGACTTATATCAAAACATATGCTAAGGATAATGTGAAATAATTAAAAATTTATCCGAACCAAATGTTACTCAACCTACATTGTCCACACTATCCAAATCTGTTGACTGCAATGCCAAAATAAACAAAATTTGATTTGTTGCCAAGAGGGGAGGATACGGACAGACGGAAAATGTCAATTCCAAACGTAACATAAAAATCCTATTTGCTTTTCTTAAATGTCACGTATTTGCCAGACATTAAAATGTAACACATGAATGAAACATTTTGAATGTTCTTCCCCACTAATGGCAGACAAAAATACAAAAACGAAAAACAATCTGAGAGGAAAGAAGACAGAGCAGTCTACGGAATCATACAAAACCCATTGCTATTCAAGGCAAGGAATATAACGAAAAAACAACAACAAAAAATCGCAATGATTTGCATGTTTTAATGGAATGTAGTTAGACCCAAATTCAAAATGTTACATTTTCAATAGATGCAAAAAAATGTAAAGAAGACGACCCGAACCATAACCGAAATTATAGTAATTTCCGTTGGCTCTTTTTGTTATAACTGTGCGTGTGACTATTTGCTATTCTTTTCTTATGGCATCTCTTTTGTTGTATTTTCTTTTTTGCAGATTTTCCCTTACAAAGTCCTGGCTTTAGTATTCACACAGCTAATACGGATAATAACGATGAAGACAATGACGAAAATATCGACGATGAAGAAGACTATTCTGTGTCTGTATCAGCTATAATGCAAAGACGTGCCAGTGTACGTGGCTATCGCAGGAAAAGCAGCAGTCGCAACTCACGCAGAGCTTCCAGTCCAATGGATCACGTTTTGGATAATGCAGAGCGTAGACGCTCCAGCGTCTATACAACAAGTTCAGGTATGATAATAACAACAACAATAACCAGTAAAAGACCAAAAAAATACAAAGGAAACATAAAATCCAATAGCATGTACGCTAAAGCAAAACAAAAAAAAAATATTTAGCAAATTCAACTATTTTGTATTAAAGTGGCTATTAAATTTGACCATCTATCTTTTACGAGGTAACAAAACTGCTAAATAGTATTTGGGTTTTATGTTGCAATAAGTTAAAGTTCTGCTAGTATAACACATGCATGTGATGGGGTTTTTAAGGAACAATTGTTTCAAGTGAACTGAAACAATAAATAAGTTATGACATCCTTTAATCGAAATATATTTCTTGAAAAATAAATTAATAGTCTTTCACAAAAAGAGAAATTATGCAAAAGCAAAAAAACTCCCTACCAGAAATTAACCAAAATGGGCCCAAATTTCGGAGTAGTCCTCGTTATATATTAGTGCTTATTAAACGTTTCATTCTGTTTGCAACACACCGGTAGTGCAAAATGAAAAAAATCGCGGTTTCAAACTGCGTACGTCCCTGAGCGCGTTTTTAAATCAAATTCGCGGAAATTTGGTACAATGGGTTCTTATTGGGTTATTTTTGGATACCAAATGTCTCCTCTAAAAATTATAAATATAGGTCCATTGTTTTGGGTAGCCCCCATATAAGGGCACCCCAATTTTTGGTATTTTGGGGTTCTTGAGGACGTTTTTCAAATATAGGCCCATTGTTTCGGGTAGCACCCATATAAGACACCCTCAATTTTCGGTATTTTAGGCTTCTTGAGCGAACTTGCTATAATTTGGTATTTTGTAGTCGCATATGGTAACAAATCTTCTTACCAAAAATTATTAATATGCACACCTTTTAGGGTAGTTACCATATAACCCCCTTCTTATATTATAATAGGCGTATTCTACCATAGTTTAGGGGATATTCTTTACTCGAAATGTCAGTTTTCCCTACGATTAAGCCATAGGTTGTAATTATTCCGCTTTCTAAGGAAATCTTGATAAAAAAAACTTGAACCATACGATTACGAAATATATCGGCCAGCATTTAAGCATGTTCACCATATATTCTACCATGCGTTTGGGGTTTTCATTAAAAATTCCTGAAATTTGTATTTGCTGTACATAATGGTTTACATAAATCGGTATGTAGAATTATCGGTATAGGTTCACTTTGTGGTATGTTCCCTATATTTTCCTTTCAAGTATCTTTCAGTATACATATGGTGGAGGGTATCCAAAGTTCAGCCCGGTCGAACTTAACTTAACACCAATTAACATAAAAAAATAGAATTGATCGAATTTCCATCTGCGAAGCCTTGGCCAAACGGAATGAGATAGACCCATTTCTTAAACGAATGGAGAATAAAAATGGATAACATACAATAACCCTGTGCGAAAACGAACATGGTCAAAGAGCGGCGAAGCACTTCAAACAGTGTCCAAACCAGGGCTAACGACCAAGAAGGTTCTGCTATGCATTTGGTGGGAATAGAAGGGGATCGTTTATTATGAGTTGCTTACATATGGACAAACGCTAAATTCTGATCTCTACTGTCAAAAGCTGGACCGTTTGAAGATAGCAATTGACCAGAAACGGTCAGAATTGGCCAACAGGAAATAATTCAAATTCCACATAGAATTATCAATGAATAATTTCAGATTTCAAATGAAATTCTCGAATTTGTAATTAATTGTAAATTCTTGAATTGCAATTTAAATTGATGTTGAGGTGCAAACTCTATTGGTCTATTCCTATACTTCAAGAATCTACTTCTTTTTACTACGATAACAAATTTACCATTATGATATCGAGAAAATAATAAAATCTAGTAAATTCTTGTAGTGCTGGAACAGACCATATATTCCCTCACAAATATTGACGTGAAAACCACATATTAAAAACATTTACCTTTTTTCATTTCAGATGAAGGTACAAATCAAGAATCAACACAAGAGCAAATATTTGAAAACATACGTCTCCACAAGGAGGTTATACAATCGGTTAAACTTCAACCATGGCCAATACGTAAGAAACTTAAGCTAGTACGACAGGTAAGCATTTGTGGTGGCTAAAACTAAACACCAGCAGAAACAGAAGTAGCAACAGCAGCACACCACCACGCATACGAATACCTGAAATGTATTCATTCTTTTAGGTAAACCTTCAGCACTTCTCTACTTGATGTTGAGTTTAAGACGCAACTAATTCCGTAGCTGCTGCTGTTTTTGTTTGAATGGAATATTTAAAAGTTCTGAAAAGAAAATATATTGCAAAAAAGTTTTCATTTACTTTTGTTTTTTATTTCTCCATTGTAGGCTAAAACATATGTGGCCCGGCATGAGGGAGCACTACAGGAACGTTTTGCCATGTCACGCAGCACTCGAGATTTGTGGGCGCGTTTTAAAATTGTAATGGCTGCTGTAAGTGATTTTTACATTTTCTTTAGACCACCACCCTCGCTACTCGACGGTTGCCACTTCCTGCTTTTAGTGTGTGTGTGTTCCTTCCACTTGTGTTTTCCACTTTTCATTGTTTGATTTGAGGATGTTTTTTTTTCTAAAGTTGTTTAGTTTTTCTTTTGTTCCCCCGCATGTTTTACTTCATTGTTATAAGATATTTCGTTCACTTCTTGTTACCTTTTTATTTGGAAAGATTGTAGGTTGAAAAGTTTGTATGTTCTCATTCATCCATTGTGGATGAAACTTGTATGGATGAATGGCAAAAAGCATCATCATACCCATGAATATTTATTACGACCATTGAAGAGTTTTTCTTTTAGCTCTTTATCGACTTGGTTTCAGGTTTGTTCATGACTTTACCAAAAATGTTTTGTAGCATTCAGAATTAAGAGTGAAGCCTGAAAGTTTTGATCATCTTTAATCCTCAAATGATATATTACCAGACCATCCAATGATATAAATTAATAAAACATAGGCCAAATTTTATCATGAGACAATTTTCTAATGGAAATTTTCAATACGAATGCACAAGTCCAATTGTGACATAACTGTTTTAGGGAAGGCGAAGAAGAGGAGATTTTGGCAAAACAGATTTTGGTAAAAAAACAAGTCGTTGTCATTGCCCTTCAAATGTTTGATGGTTTGAAAAGATCTGTCCAGCCAAACCAAATTTTAAATGGACATCTCTCTGTCTCTCTCGAGCTTTCCCGAGCTCTCGTAAAAACGTGAGGACATTTATATAAGTTTTAATCGTTCGAGACTTTTATATTTGGTGTCTATGTCATGGTAAATTTTTTGGTAGAAAGATTAGACACCAGAGCCAATTCAGTTAATTCCTATCCAAATATTTTTGGATAGGAATTAAAATGCCAAATCCAATTCGGTTAAAAGTGATCCCAAGTTTCCCAAAATACCGACATTTGAATTCATAGTCCGATGGTACCTACTGACCTGATATTATACTACCAGCCTTGTACCTCATCGGAATATTAATTTTTCACCAAAACCGTTTCAGACAATTTGAATTGATAATGTCCGCCCGCCTGTCTGTCTGGCCGGCTTGAGCGCACGAAGGGAATAGCCGATTTTATTACAACTTGAAACATCGTAAAAACATTACTTTAAAATATCACGTGTCAAAATTTTGAAAACTTGTACATCTTATATGAAGCGAACGATTAGGTCCGAAGATGGAACACGTCGCTTCCCTTCTTCTGGTACTTCTCCACAAAATTATCAAAATTTGACTGAAAGTTAACCCTTTAGCCCACTGCTTCAAGTACCTTCCTACAAAGGATCAATATTTTTAAAACTTGTACATCTATCCTATGAACTGAAACGAATATCCGATTTCATCGAAACTTTGCACATCGTAATATATTTACCTTACCTAGGTTATGTTGGAAGATGGGACCCGTCAAGTTTTTTGGACATTCAAACTATAAGTATGCGAAAAGTACTAAATTTGGTACAAAAAACTTGAAATTTGGAATGCGAATTTGGATTGAGATGTAGGGTATATTTAAGTAGAAAGTGTGCACTCATGTGTACGAAAAGTACTATATGGTACTATATTTGGTACAAATTTAATTTGGAGATACAAATCGATTGGGATATGTACGTAGTTTAGGAAATTTGTTACTTATAGGCACTAAATCGTACTATAAATGGTACAATTTGGATTTGGGTGAACCGATGGAGCGGGAACAATGAAATTTGGAGTCAGGATCACTGTAGGGGTGTAGGATTGGGGGTCAGGATTTAGTTTAAGAAATTAATACGTATGGGTACTAAATGGTACTAATTTGGTACAATTTTAATTTAAGTGAACCAATATAGCTAGGATCATGAAATTTGGAGTCAGGATCACTGTGGAGTTGTAATATTTAGATATGTAGGAAGTTTTAGAAATTGTTACTGCTGTGTACTAAATTTTGTACAATTTGAATTGTGGGTGAACCGATAGAGTTGAAATAATTATATAGGATCACTGTGGAGGTGTAGGATTGGAGTATGTAGGAAGTTTTGGAAATTCGTACTACTGTGTACTAAATTTGGTACAATTTAAATTGTTGGTGAGCCAACAGAGTTGGAATCCTGAAATTTGAATTTGGAATAATAGGGTATTCAGGAAGTTTTGTTGGATTGTTGAGGAGGGTACTTATGAAAATAATGTGTGCTAAATGAAACTGAATTTGGTAAAATTTGGATTTGGGTGAACCGTTAGAGTTCGAATGATGAAATTTGATACTAAATAATACTCAAATTTAATTTATGGTCAATGTTAATGTGTGGATTGTTAAGTTGTTCTGACATATGAAATTTTCAGTGAAAATAAAATTATATGTTAATACATGTTTAAATATTTTTCACATTCGCTAACGAAGTAGCGGGCATATGCTAATTTCCAATAAAAATAATAAAAGTTTTGTGTATTTCCGTACACCTCCGTCAACTATAGTTATATATTTGTCGGTCACGCCGGCTGACAATTTTTATCTTGTTCGAATACCATCTACAACACCATACAACAAAATGTAGCTCACTGGGTGGAAAATTCATTATGAGGATAATACCAAAAATAACGAATTCGCCATAGGTTAAGTTTTTGAGTTACGAAGTGATGAATTTTATATATTCTAAGACCTATAAAATTTATCACTTCTAAATTTCCAACTTGAGTGTCAGTAGTTTGGTACTTCTTTTTCCCTGGATGTATGCCATTTTCGGTACATCGTTCATATTTTTAAACCTAAGAGACTGTAACAATCCAATCCAATTTTTTAACCAATGACAATGTTTTGGCAAATCCACTTAAAATTTTACCGGAAAAATCGATATGTTAGCCAAATTTTTCAATGTATAATTTACAAAACGATTTTAATTTGTTTAATACAATTTCATTATTGAAAAGTTGCAGATGTAAATATGACCGCATTATATTTAAGTCCGATTTTAAGTGCTTAAAGGAAGCTTCCTGTGTCATTATGATATTCTAATCACATTGACCTTGATTCATGTCGTATAATATAGTATTAAAGTTAAAATAGTATTATCATTAAAAATAAGCTATTAACCGCTATTAAAAATACGCTATAAGCCGATTTTTAGAAAATACCTTACTACTTTCTCACATGTTCATTAATTTCAAAATTTACTTCATAAGATTGTGATAATCCACTTAAGCTCAACCCAGAACCCACTTACATACACATGCTTGCAGATTGGGTGTGCGTCAGAGTAAGAATATCATTCGACCTACAAACTTAATACCATAAAACAGTGCCACTGCTTATAAAGTTCCATTAATGCCCAACAATATTCGCAATGTTAATCTTGTTGTTCTTCGGTGTTACATACAATTATAATTTACAACATCCTCCCTCATACGCTGGTATTTACAATTTGAAATGGATTTCAATTTGCTGCTAATGGACCTGTAGTGCTTTGTTGGCACTTTCTGTAACCGGTATGTGGCCAGTGCCGGTCTACAGGATACACACGTTAAACACAACAATATTTCTGATGTTTGGTTGCTGGTTCTGGTTCTGGCAAACACCAGGCATGCATGCAAGCAGGTCATCATCAGCAGCAGAGTTCATTGTTGAACCAGCAGGAAACTAACCATACTTCAAACAAGACAATGAAGGTTACCTTCGTTTCAACTGCATTATGTGGGATGTTTTATTCTTATCTGTAGTCACATGAGAATACTATACACCCGTACATATTTACGTGCATAGATGGACTGGACAAAGGACTTGCCACTTTTGTTGTCCAACATGCAAGCAAGCAAACACACAGAAACGGAATTTTCAAAATTGCTCGGTCATCTGGTCCTCATGAGGGCATCAGTGTTGTTCCGTTGAGCCAGGTGAGGGTATATATGTGTGTTTGTGTGTATAGAAATTAAATGATGTTTTAATTGGAATACATGCTAAGCTTTTAGTCGATTAAAGATAAAGTTTAAAATTATAGAGTTAAATAAAACAACAGATTAAAATCTGTTATAAAACTCATTGGCCAAACATAATTGAGTCTCCGGTGAGTTACAAGCGATAATAATTGTGTAATAAAATGTGACACATTTTTAAATTGAATTTGGGAGAGTGAAACATATTCAAAAATTAAACAAATGAAAAAGCGTCCGAACCTTTTTTACCCTCGGCCGGGCCGAACTTTTGATACCCTCCACCATAGTTATACTGACAGATACATGTAATGAAAATATAGGGAACATACCAAAAAGTAAGCATATACCGATAATTCTACAAACCGATTTATGTAAACCATTATGTACACTAAATACAAATTTCAGCAATTTTTAATAAGGATTTTTCCTAAAATGTGTATGCTCCAAAAAGTGAAATGATACTGATAACGCATGGTAGAGTATAAAATCCTCAAACTACTGTAATTTAGAATACAAAGTTTTATGAGGCTATGCCTAAAGGGAGACCAATATTGATTACATAGTGTAGGAAGTAGTGAATATTTGGGGATATGATTATATGAGGGCTATGCCTAAGGCGGAATGCTTACAACCGCTCTCAAGAACCCCAAAATACCGAAAATTTGGTGTACCTTTATATGGGGGATACCCGAAAAAATTGACGTATATTTATAATTTTCTGTGGAGAGATTTGCTACCCAATAAGAATTCAAATTACTAAATTACAGCCAATTCGGTGAAAAAATCCGGTCAAAACCCCCCAAATACTGAAAATTTGGATGTACCCTTAAATGGGGGCTGCAGAAAAAGTGGACCTATATTTATAATCTTTAGTGGGGAATTTTGGTACCCAAAAAGAACCCAATGTAACAAATTTCAGCGAATTCGGTTGAAAAACGCGCTCAAGAACCCTAAAATACCGAACATTGGGGGGTACCCTTATATGGGAGCTATGCCTAAATGTGGACCAATATAGCCCATCTTCGAACTTGACCTGCCTGCAGACAAATGAAGACTCTATCTCGTTTATACGCTAGAGTGATTACAACAGACCGACGGACAGACGGACGTGCTTAGATCGTCATAGAATTTTATGCTGATCAAGAATATATATACTTTATGATTATTTCGATGCGTTACAAACGGAACAACAAAACTAATATACCCTCCATACTATGGTGTAGGGTATAAAAACGGATGCTTTATGTGGAGACAATGTCATTGGAAATATAAACAAGCTACTAGGTTTATTCTCTTAGCTAATTACGGACACTAAGGTTGGAAAACTAGGCTAAGGGGTATATATATGTATTTATACAAGTAAAAAAGTGTCAGTCGGAATTGCCGACAGATATATACCCCCACCCAACGGTTTGCGGAGGAGGTCTTCGGAGTTATATACAAGTTTTATTATTCGTTTTATATATACCTTATAAAAATTGACCCTTTTTGTAGGTCGTACCAGAAGAAGGGCAGACGAGTCCCACCTTCAGACTTGATCTAGGCTTGGTAAAGATAATAGGTTTTGCAAAATCGGGCATTCAATTCGCCTAATATTGGATTTATAAATATTGAGAAGTACCAGATGGAGTGAACCAATGATAAAAGATTGTTCATAGTTTGGTTCAAATCGGACATTCCATTCACCTGATATTGGATTCATAAATATCTTCGGACTTGATCTAGGCTTAATAAAACTAATATGTTGTGCAAAGCTTGGATCAAATCGGACATTTCTATCGCCTGATATTGGGTTTATGATATTGACATTTTCGATCATTTGTGGGGAATATACCAGAAGGAGTGGACCAATGGGTCCCATCAATGGGACCAGAAGGCGTGGGCCGATATTCCCCATCTTTGAACTTAAACTAAGTCAAAAAGAAATATTAAGATGTGCAAAGTTTGGATGAAATCGAATCGTGCGCTCCAGTCAGACGGACGGACATGTGTAAATCGACTCCAATTTTTCTAAAATGAATTTGGTCCAACAAACTAATATTTCGATGCCAAGAACCTGGAATTCCAAATTACAGCATTTTCCTTTCCGATGTATGATAACCTCTAAAAGTCTGAAATGCTAAATTACAATATCTTCAGTTGAAAATTTCAAATTATACCCTCAGAATACAGAAATTGGAAATGTGTCAAAATATAGATCTAATCCATATCTATTTGCGATCTTCTTCGCAAATTTATACCAACCTTAAAAACCCGGAAATGTCAAATTAGAGCATTTTCAGTTGAAAAAAATCCCTTACATGAGGGCTATGTTAAAACATAAACCTGTATTTTTATACCCTACACAACTATGTTGTCAGGGTATTATAGCTTTGTGCAGCCCCAAAAGTTTGTAACACCCCGAAATGTGTGTCCGTCCATCCATCCGTCCATTATAATTTGTAAACACATTACAGGCCACAGTTATGGACCAATCTTCACGAAATTTTGTATGTAGGATGGGTTCTGGCCAATGAAGACCCCTATTGTTTTTGGAAAAGATCGGGTAATATTTAGGGGATGAAATGGACCAAAAACTTTATTTTTGTCGGTATTTCTGGTCGCTCCAGAGGCCGCAATTATGGCCCAAACACCGCTAATTTTTGCATGAAGAAGGGGATTGGCCCAAAGAATAAGCATGCCTGTTTTGATAAAGATTGGTCAATATTTAGCGGGTAAAATTGACCCTGACTTTTGTGTGAAAAATTACAAAACTTGTAGTGTATGGCGTATATATTTACTTCTGAAGGATATAGACCCGAGAAGTTGATAATATGTCGAAGAGGACTGGTTGACCTTTAAATTTACACCAATTACATTGTCGTATGTACTCGGATGTGGGAGTTACACTTAAATATTCACAGGTGCTTACGTATTCATATATTATTTAGTAACCTATTACCACACTGGAGGACGGAAATATGGCGCTGATCGCTTTGAAATGTTCCATGAAGTTCCCGATCAACGACAACGCATATAATTTTCGGTGATGATCAGAAAATAATTTCGGTATGAAGTGGACCGAAAACTTTTTTTTGTGGTTTTGTTTCGAGTCGATCTATAGGCCACAATTGAAAGCCCAACATCACAACATAACCCAAGGTAAAGAGAATCTGGACAAGTAAAACCCTCGTCTACCGAATATAAGAAATATTTGTTGACATCTAGTATGTCAAGGGGGTGCAAATATCGCGAAATATTGTCTAAACTCAGAATATACAACCACAGAAAGTTAGATTTTTGTGGAAGTTGTGTAGGGTATCATATGGTCGGCCCCGTCCGACTATACTGCTCCATACTATACTATGCCAACCTCCAAAACCAACCAACCAACCTCCAACCTCCAAAATGGAAATATACAGCATTTTCTTTTGGAAAATGTGACTGCAAGCCTCAAAATAACTAAAAATGGGTGGGAGTTTCCAAGCATGGACCTATAAAGATCATCATCTGCTCAAATATATGCCAGGCTTCCCGAAATGCTAATTCAGAGCCATTTCGGTAAGAAACCCCCAAAAATAGGTCCTGACTTTTATATGAGAGATATGTCAAAACATGGAACTGCTGGTTGGTAAATGCACCTATTGAAAATGGAGAGAACCGATTTTGTCTGATTAACACGATATTTTGGTTAAAATTGACATATTGCTCCCACATTTATTTTGGTCCGGTTTCACGGATAATAGACACTTCACGTGTCCAGTTGAAAATATGGAGCACATATAAAATTCCGTCCGATTTTTTTTATAAATTTTTCATTTCGGAGATGTCGTTTTTTTCTGGTCGCTCCAGAGAAGGTCGGTCATTATTTAGCGGGTCAAATGAAACCTAATTATTGTGTAACAAATTAGATAATTGGTATTCTATGGCGTTTATGTTTACTCCTGAAGGACATAGACCCGAGTAGTTGACAGTTGATAGGAGTGGTTGACCTTTAAATTGATACCAATTATATTTTCGTATGTACTCTGGGAGCTAAACTTAAATATTTACTGGTGCTTACGTATTCACATATTATTTAGTAACCCTTTAACATTAGAGAACAGAAATAAAGCGCTGATCGCTTTAAAATTTTCAAAGAGATTCCAGTTATGGTCAAGGACAACGCCTATAATCGGTCATGATCACATCAAAATTTTGGGATGAAGTGAATCGAAAACTTAATTTTTTTATAATTTTCCGTTCATTCGGTAATCTCTATATTTTTGCATAAATTACATTCGCAATAGTTTATAACGACGGTAAAGGGATCGACGCAATTGGTGCTTTTAACCATAGTCGCGATATCAATTGTGATTTATTTTGACGCAAGTTATTGGCCCAGAGAATAACTTTCATTTAACGTTTTATTGTTTTCATTACAGCGTTGGCGCCACTGGAAACGAGAAATTTACAGTTTTCTAACCGTTCTCATACCTTGGGAGCTACGAATCAAAGAAATCGAATCACATTTTGGATCGGGCGTTGCCTCGTATTTTACATTTCTTCGTTGGCTTATGTATATGAATGTTATGATTGCCCTGCCATTGGTATTATTTGTTATTGGACCGGAGGTAATGTAGTTATGTGCTATTTTAAACAATTTAATCCGCCAGTTTAAACATTTTTTACAAATATTTGAAATTTTGTTCATATTAGTATTTTGGAACGAAAAACGATGAAATTGATCCACGCAAAAAGATGACCGAACGTGAATACAAGGTTGCCGGTAATCTACTAACAATATGGGAATTTGAAGGTTATCTGAAATATTCGCCAATGTTTTATGGGTAAAAGAGAAGATTTTAAGAAATATTTCGGAATCGTTCTAATTTATTTTCCCTTTGCAGATATTATTCAAGTTCCACCGGAGCAGCGGCACATGGATACCTATTGCCACTGGCCTATTTTCTAACAGCGGTGGTGGTATATATTTATAGTTTCGTGGCCACACTAAGAAAGTAAGTTGATATTTTTATGACAACAACAAAAAAAAAGCCAAAAAATGTGACAATTTATTTGTTATACCATCCACCAGAAGGTATAGTGTAAATCAAAATATTTACCGGATCCGAATAAAATTCTACATCGATTGTCTGATGTCCGTCTGTCTTTTGAAATCACCATAGCGTTCTCAATATTTAAGATAAAGCTTTGAAATGTTTGAAAATGGGATATATCGGTCCTCATTTTGGTATAACCGTGCCCACAAATATTGGATATTTTAGGGATTTTTGGCGCGTTTTTCTACAGAATCAGCTGAAATTTGGTATTTTAGGGTTTCATATCATATCTTTTTACTGAAAATGTTGAATATTTGTTCACTTCCCAAATTTCCGTATTTTGAGTCCTCATTGGGTTACACATCTTACTATCAAAAATTATCAATATTGGGCCACGTTTTACGCTGGCCCCATATAACAGTACCTCCGAAATTTAGGTATTTTGAGGTGTATGGGCACGATTTTTAATCGAATTGGATGTAATTTGGTATTTTGAATTCAAATTGGGTAACGCATCCTCCTACCAAAAATTATGAATATTGATGCACTTTTTTTGATAGCCCCCATATTGGTATTTTGCAGATTCTTGGCACTTTTCAACCGAATCGGATTTAATTTGGTATTTTGGGTTCCCTTTGGGTAACCCATCTTCCTAATAGAAGTTTCCCATAAGTTCCCATGCCTACAAAATGTCTGTTTTGTTGGGGAATATAGAAACATTTTTAACTGAATTGTCAGTAATTTGATATTTTGGGTTCTCATAGGATAACAGATCCTCCTGTCGCAGCCCAATATATATATATATATATATATATAAAAGGACAGGACCATTAAAGACATATTCATAAATAAATAGTTCGGCCCGCCCAATATTAACGACGTTGTTACTTGTTGGCTCTAGAATTCTATTTGAAGTCGAAATTTGAGAAAGTACGGTTATAGCGAACAAGTAGGGGCCAAGGAAATTAGTTCGTTATAGTAGAAGTTCGCTATATCCAATGTTAGGAAAATCCTAGGATTAGCAGAAAAAATTATATTCATTTTTTGCCCTTTTTGCCAATATTTAAGCTACTTCTCTTTTTCTTTAATGAATCTGACATTTTTTTGTAAAGTTTGCCAGCGTTAGCGTATAAATTAATTTTTGTGTGAATTGTCATCGTTAATTATTTTTATTTTTGTAGAAAGTTTGTTATAACCGAATTAAAAGAAAGGAAAACAGAAAGATGGGACCGAATAAATAGATCGTTATAAGAAAAGTTCGCTATATCCGTAGTTCGTTATAAGAGTAAAGATTTGTATGAAAAATATGTCTTAAAACTACGGACCAGGAAATGTGTTCGCTATAAGGAGAATTCGTTATAACCAGTGTTCGTTATACGCGTACTCGCTATAAGTATACTCGCTATAGAGTTCTAAAAAATATAATTATCTCGTCCCCTTCAACATATTCCAACAACGTTTTTTTATACCCTTCACCACGCTGTGGTACAGGGTATTATGTCTTTGTGCATATGTTTGTAACAGGCAAAAATAATAGAGATAGACCCATGGTTCCTTTTGACAATATGCAAAGAATCACTTTCTAAGTCGATTTACGCATGTCCGTCCGTCCGTCTGTCTGTCCATGTTAAATTGTAAACAAAGTACAGGTCGCAATTATGAATTGGATGAAATTTGGCATATGTCACTTATTGAAATTGGGAAAAATCGGTTCAGATTTAGATATAGCTCCCATATATATATATATATATATATATATTCAACCGATTTAATGTAAACGGTCCCTATATATCTTTCGATTTGCACGAAATTTGGTACAGCCTAATCATTTAGGTCTAGAATAAAGTCTGCCAAGTTTCGTGAAAATTGGTCCAGATTTAGATATAGCTCCCATATATAGTTTCGTCCGATTTCATGTAAATGGTGCCCCAAAGACTCTATATATCTTTTGATTTGCACGAAATTTGGCATAACGTACTGAATTAAGCCTAGAGTGATGTCTGCCAAGTTTCGAGAAAAACGGTCCGGATTTAGATATAGCTCCCATATATAGTTTCGTCCGATTTCATGTAAATTGTGCCCCAAAGTCCCTATATATCTTTCGATTTGCACGAAATTTGGCATAACGTACTGAACTGAGCCTAGAATGATGTCTGCCAACTTTCGAGAAAATCGGTCCAGATTTAGATATAGCTCCCATATATAGATTCGTCCGATTTCATGTAAATGGTGCACCAAAGTCCCTATATATCCTATATCCTTCGATTTGCACGAAATTTGGCATAACGTACTTAATTAAGCCTAGAATGATGTCTGCCAAATTTCATGAAAATCGGTCCTGATTTAGATATATCTCCCATATATAGTTTCGTCCGATTTCATGTAAATGGTGCCCCAAAGTTCCTATATATCTTTCGATTTGCACGAAATTTGGCATAACGTACATACTTTATGGATAGATCAAGGTAGATTCACATTTAGATAAATATCACATATTTTATTTCATTCAATTTCATGCTAATAGTCCTGTTTATTATACCCATAGTGATGAAGGGTATCATATAGTTGGCCCCGTCCGACTTTACTACTTTCCTTACTGGTTTTTTTCTAATCCTCGAAACACTTCTAAAACACTATTTTTGGCATTTTTGCTTAAATGGTTATACAACAGGCCGACTCCTTAGTACCATTGGTAAAATTTCCAGCACTCTTCATAAACTAGCTAAATACCTAACCTTCCATTCGAAAACCCACCTCCAACAAATTCGTATCTACCCACAGTAAATATCAATTTCCTAAACAACTCTCCTATCCATTGAAGTATTTGACATCGTTTACAATATTTATACACGAATAAAGAAATATTACTTGTAACCGGATTAAGCTCATTTCTGGTCCATAAATATAGTACATGAGAACAGCGAAGGAAGGAAGCAGGACTCGTGACAACAATTATTTATACTGGCATTCCTTTCAGTTATTTTTTTTTTCGGGGGCATATAGAAATACATAAAAGGAAATAATGGCCAGAAACCAGAAAATCTTAACGAGGACATTTTTTATGTCGATAGACTGAAAGAGAGAATGTATTACATCATAATTTACATTAATGCTAACCGAAGGCACACAAAAAAACCTTAAGGCGATTAAGACCAATAATAGATGAAAAAAGGGAATATTTTAATACACCGCTTAAGTCAACAGACACGAACACTGAGGTATAGAATATTTATGTAAATATGTATGAACACAAATAGCAAATGATTTTCGATTCAAGTGGGCCCAAGGTGTAAAACAAACAAAAAATATAGAGTAAAAAATATAATTGAAATTTAATAGCTGTTAGAAGATATTTTTAAAACGTTTTTTCTCCAGAGAATTTCGATATTAAATTGCCTTCATACAACTGGCATTGAACTGTGACTAATACGTCAAAAATGTAAAGTGTGACTAGGTATTTTTCGTCTTAGGAATGAATGTCACCTTTACTTCTCTCCACAGACTTGTTATGAATGATAACCTTAGGCAGGCCCTAAAATCTCCCTCAGTTTTATTAGGACTTACTCTGGGGCAATCTGCAACATTGCAGGTATTATACCACTTGGTCCAGGAGATTTGTAGGGTTGAAAAGTGTTAATAGTTCATGCCAGTTTTGGATAGGTTGTTAGGCCATCCATCTATCAGAGCTTCATTTGGCATGGACTGAGGTTAAATATCATGCAGCAATTGCTCTGCTCCCTGGAAAATGAGTATCCGATAGATGGTCCACAGTCTTTATACCAGAATTAATCCACGTGCGTTCATTTCTTTTAATTTTACCAATGGATTTTGGGTCCTTCGATATTATTTTGCGAAATCTTGCCGCTTCGTTTCTTAATCTCACTTTTGTAATTATTGAAAAACTCCCTATAAGTAAGTTGGCACAGTATGTTAGGGCTCTGTTGGAGTCAACAGCCAACTTCTAGGAAGTTTGGTATTCTCTAAGGGAAATGTCAGATACCACCAGGCAACAAATATAATAAACATCCTCTTTATCTAATATAGTTTTGTAAGTTCTGGTCCACCTTAGCATGGAATTTATAATTGCTCTGTTCCCGTACTGCAAGAAAATTCGTTATCATAATAAATAATAGTAGATTCTTGCAGTACGGGTACAGGTCAAATATTTATTAATAATAAAAATTTGACATTGCATAACCCCCACATAAAATTTCCGAATTTTCTGAACTTTCGCTTGGTAGTAAAGGTCCCAAAAAAATGTGTCTTCTTTTCACATAATCCAATTGTCTCAGTTGAAAGGCCTCATATTTTTTGTTATGAGGCCTAACCACATTTTGTCGATAGCGTTCGACAGTGCGTAAGTAATCAGGAACAAAACGAAAAACAACATCGAATAATAGTCACGCCATTATGCTAAGCACGTTCATCAATAAGATTTCCACTTGAAGTTCTGTGAATTTGTCAGACTTTTAGACGAAACGAAAATAAAAGGACATTTGAAGGTATGAAATAATGTCGAACATTATGCTACAATGAAAAACTGCGGAGAGAGCTTAGATTGGTGGTTGTGGTTTTATTGATAGGCCTGATAATAATGGATGTCAGATTGCCAGTAAATGCTCACTGATATTATCAACCTTATGTGGTAACGATGATTGTCACTACATTATGTTTTATGTGTGTAAGTAGCTTGGTCACAAAAAAAAAAAAAAAAAAAAAAATGTCCTGTCGTTACATTAAGATAGCACTGTAGCCAGAGGTAAACATTTCCGGAAAAAACATCAACAAAAACCAAACAGGAATTATTTACTTTTCTCAAAAAAACAGAGAAGTTGAAATAGCCACAACAGTGGCAAAGCAGAATTGCCAGTTGTTTGTATAACAATTTGTAGAGCTTCCTTGTTCACTTTTACAATTTCATGGATTTCTTTGAAAGTTAATCTGACCGTGTAATGGAATAAATAACATAAATATAAATGTTTTTGGTTTTTGGTTTAACAGAATAATGGGAATTAAAAATGGACAATTCTTTAGTTAAATTGTTATACAAATAAATTAGTAAAAACGACATTAAATACGGACGTACCAACATATTGTTTCGTCCCTCATGAGACTCACGTTCAAAATACCCAAAATCAACTAGAATACTCTGGTAATTGTGGACAGAAAACTTCAAAGTTGAAAAATCGGTTAATCCTGAGTTATATTAGGCGAGTTTACTTACTTTACAAAACGAATTGCCAGAAAATTGTCGGTACGTGCAATTTTTTTTCATTTTACATTCTTGCAGTTCTGGAACAGACCATTTATTTATGTCGACTGCAATATTGTTCTCAAGATGTGAATATGGGCTTTACAATTTATATATATATATATAGGTTTTAGAGGCAGGGAACTTGAAAATATTAATAAATATAAATAATCTAGCAATGTGAGCCACTAAAGACAAGCCGTGCGTACATTTAGAACGAAGTGTTTTTATTTAAATTTTGAAAACTGAATGTTGTCAAAAGTAAAATTATGGAAAAATTAGAATCATATGTCTGCATGAGACTACCTTGTATAATTATGCCATGGGTTAGGACCTTGTACCTATCGAAAATGGGCGTGACGTTTATATTAAGGATATGTCAAAACATGGATAATCAGGAACACAGAAAACCAAATTAGTGTCGCTTTGGTTTATAAATACGCCCAAGATAACCAAAATATTTAAAATGTAAACATTTCATTAATATCAAGACTATTTACATACTTCTTTCTACTTAAAAACTACTTGTGCTTACTTTTGCCTCTTTCTCTCACTTTTGTCAAAGACAAGTGAATTCAGCCCAAGAAAAAAAACCACCAGTATTCATCGTCCGGATGTGCTTTGTTTTGGTATCGTCCTCTGTATCTCTCCTCACTTGTTGGTTGTTAGTTTTGCAACCGTTTCTCTTATTTACAACCGCATTTGCATTCCATTGTTTCTTTATTTCAGAACTGTTTGCATTGGTGTTAAAAAATTCGCATATGTATTTTCCAATTTTTTTTTCGATATAAATGTCAAATAAAATATAAGAAGTAAGGGTTGATACGAGCAACAAGCTCCACCGAAAGTAGAAAAAAACTAAATCAAAACGACATATAGTTTCTGTGCCATAGGAAACCCGTCACCATCACCAAACACAACTCCGAAGTTGACAAGAAACCAGCATTTAAAGTTGTATGAATTGCATCCATAATATGCAAACATCCGGACATTAGCAACATTCATATTATTTATTATTATTATTGATTATAGCAACATATTATTATTTATTTACACTATTCATATTTATTTTCATACCCTTCACCACTCTGTGGTACAGGGTATTATGTCTTTGTGCATATGTTTGTAACAGTCAAAAGGAAACGAGATAGACACATTTTCGTCCGATTTAAAGTAAATGTTGCACCAAAGTCCCTATATATCTTTCGATTTGACACAGCGTAATGAATTAGGTCTAAAATGATGTGTGTTAAGTTTGGTGAAAATCGGTTCAGATTTAGATATAGATACCCATATATATTTTCGTCCGATTTAATGTAAATGGTGCACCAAAGTCCCTATATACCTTTCGATTTACACGAAATTTTGCACAGCCAAATAATTTAGGTCTAAAATGATGTGTGTTAAGTTTCGTGAAAATCGGTTCAGATTCAGATATAGCTCCCATATATATTTTCGTCCGATTTAATGTAAATGGTGCACCAAAGTCCCTATCTAAATCTTTCGATTTGCACGAAATTTTGCACAGCCTAATAAGTTAGGTCTAAAATGATGTGTGTTAAGTTTCGTGAAAATCGTTTCAGATTTAGATATAGCTCCCATATATATTTTCGTCCGATTTAATGTAAATGGTATACCAAAGTCCCTATATATATTTCAATGTGAATGAAATTTGGAATAGGGTACCTAATTTAGTCTATAATGACGTGTGCTAAGTTTCGTGAATATCGGCTCAGATTTAGATATATCTCCTATATATATTTTCCTCCGATTTAATGTAAATGGTGCTCCAAAGTCAATCTATATCTTTCGATCTGCACGAAAGTGGGCATAGCGCAATGAATTAGGTCTAGAATGAAATGTGTTAAGTTTCCTGAAAATCGGTCCAGATTTAGATATAGCTTTTCGTCCGATTGAATGTAAGTGGTGCACCAAAGTCCACATATATCTTTCGATTTGCACGAAAATTGGCATAGCGTACTGAATTAAGTCTAGAATTATGTGTGCTAAGTTTCGGTTCAGATTTAGACATAGCTCCTATATATATTTTCTTCCGATTTTATGTAAATTGTGCACTAAAGACCCAACGTTTGTCCGAAGTTAGATATAGGCCCCATATATTAGGATTCATCAGTTGAATATACCCAAAGTGGTGAAGGGTATCATATAGTCGGCTCGTCCGACTTTACTACTTTCCGTACTGGTAAATATTACAAATTTTGACAATTTGTGGGGGAGGTACCAGAAGGAGTGGACCATCGTCCTACATGTTTTATTTGTATATTGATATTTTTTGGAAGGAATACCACCCAAGGACAACTCAAAATATTAACTTACAATTCAGTTCAAAAATATGCTCAAAATGATCGAAATACCGATAATCAAGGTTATACTGACATTTTGTTTTTTTTTTTAATAATCTTTACCATACAAGGACTTCTCAAAGTATTAACCTTCTGCTAATTCAATTGAAAAATATGCTCAAATTATCTAAAAACCGAAAAAAAAACAATAAAAACTAAAAACCAGTGAGCGGAGCAGTATAGTAGGACGGGGCCGACCATATGATACCCTACACAACTACTGCGGAACTCAAATTTTCTGCGGATGTTTATTCCGTCCAGATTCCCTTCACCGTGGGTTGTGTTGTGATGTTCGGCTTTCATTTGTGGTCTATATATCGACTCGAAAATAACACAAAAAATTAAGTTTTCGGTCCACATCATTCCAAAATTATTATCTGATCATCACCGAAAATTATAGGCGTTGTCCTTGACCATAATTGGAAGCTTATGGAACATTTCAAAGCGATCATCGCTATAGTTCTGCTCTCTAGAGTGATAATGGGTTACTAAATAATATACGAATACGGAGATACCTGTAAATATTTAGGTGTAACTCCCACATCCGAGCACATACAACAATATAATTGGTCTTAATTTAAAGGTCAACCACTCCTCTTGGATATAATATCAACTTCTCGGGTCTATGTCATTCAGGGGTAAATATATACGCTATAGAATACAAATTTTGTCATTTTTCACACAAAAGTCAGGGTCCATTTGACCCGCTAAATATTGACCAATCTTTATCAAAACAGGCATGCTTATTCACGATGTTCGGGGCATTATTGCGGCCTCTGGAGCGACCGGAAAAACCGACAAAAATTTAGTATTTGGTCCATTTCATCCCCTAAATATTAACTGATCTTTTCCAAAAACAATAGGGGTCTTCATTGGCCAGAACCCATCCTACATGCAAAATTTCGTGAAGATTGGTCCATAACTGTAGCCTGTATCGTGTTTACAAATTATAATGGACAGACGGACGGACGGACACACATGTCTAGATCGATTCAGCTAGTCGAGATATGACGATCGGTATACTTAAAGGTGGGTCTAGGACCAATATTTCGCGGCGTTACAAACATTTGGGGCTGCACAAAGCTATAATACCCTGACAACATAGTTGTGTAGGGTATAAAAATCGGAATGACAAATTAATAATACACTGCACCTTATGTTGGAGAGTATAAAAAGTTCCTTAGTTCACTGGTTGGCAGTATTTTGGTCGCTAACAAAAAACCTGGCTGTCAAGAGTTCTTATACAGCAACAGGTCGGTCAGGATATATATCACATATAAACATGGTATATACACATTGATACGATAAAATTTTCCTCATAGATATATTAGTTTCATACCTATATTTGTCCTTTGTCCCAAATAAAAAATAAAGATGTTGGGAAAAGTGATTTGATTTAATATTACATGAACAGCAGCAAGAACAACAGTCTAACACAGAAACGTAACTAAATCCAATAAAATCAAGACAACAAACCTGAAGTTAATCTCATAAGTTGTACAAAAGTAATTTCAAATTTCTTGACAGAAAGCAAGCAAAGCGGTAGGGGAATTTTTGTTCAGCATCATACCGTCACGCTAAAGTTATTATCGTAATTCAATTAGTTCGTGTCCTTTTAATTGACAATACTAAGAATTGCTCATCTCCTGGCTAATTAATGTCATAGCCAAAGAACAATGAAACTAACGAAGAACAAATACCAATGCAGGTACGTGCCTAACAGTAAACAGCTATCTATTCGATTAGCCTTTAAATGTGAGAGGACAGCAAGTATTTAGAGAATAAAACTTATTTAAGTAATATTAAAAAATCTTATCACTTCTCTATGCGCGTCAATTCCCATTCGGCACAAGGCCTCTGTTTTACGATATTCCAGTCCAAAACGAATAAAAGTCCTTTAAAGTGATAGAAGCCGTTAATTAAAATAAAAAATGTGACATCCTTTTTTGTCTTCCCCCACAGAATGGCCGAGAATTCACGTAATTCAAAACTATCATCGAAAGACGACGAATGCACATTTTCGTGGAAACTTTTTACTGGTTGGGATTTTATGATTGGTAAGTATGAACGAATGAGTAAGACAGAGATATACGAACCAACACCCCATTGCCTTGTGCCACAAAACAATGCTCAAGGATAATGAATTCTTTTTTACTTATAATTTCTAAAGTTATTTTTGTGCGGGTTCACACTGTTTTCAGGTCATGCGGAAACTGCACATAATCGCATTGCATCTGTGGTAGTTGGTTTCAAGGAAGCTCTACTGGAGGAAGCTGAAAAGAAGAAGGATACACGAAAGTAAGTTTTAATGGCTAGCTGTGTCACAATACATTTAAATTTTATGGCTGGAATTATTTTCCAGAGGCAATTATTTTTTTTATAAGTTTATTTCGGGCATTTTGTTAGAATTTAATTTTATTAAAAATTATAGCCACGTATAAATATATGTGTTTTTTTTTTCTTTCAGTTGGCGTATTATATTGCAACGTATAGTTGTTAATATTTTGATAATTGCCCTGTTAGTCGCATCCGGTGCTATTGTTGTTTACTTAGTAAATAGGTGAGTATGCATCTGCCGTCACTTAAATGTATCCATATAAGGTGTGGAGTAAATTATTCTTTGCAAATAAATCGATATACTTGGTTTATTATATATGCCTGTGGTGACACCTGACATCTCCAATAGGAAGTTTGACATTTTTTAACATATACGTTTTTAGTACGGTTTGACGTACCACCATGTGTTGTGTTGTTTACACTGACTTCAATAATGAATTTGCCCACAAAATTCTCCTTCCATATTTTTCACGATTTTCGACGTGGATTATCCCGACAAGAGTACACCGATGAACTTACCATTCTATATCAGGTAAAAAAGTGCTTTAAAGAATTGGTGCAAAAAAAGAAAATTACTAAAAACTTGGTTGAGCTCACCCGAAATTTTATATCCCTCATCATATGGTGTACATCAGGGTTATGCAATTTTAACTTATGTTAAAACTCATCAAAATGTAATACTGACATACTAGATTGCAATAAAAACATAATCATAGTATATTTCTTTACAAAATCGGGATCATTGTATGGGGGACAGTGTCATTGTCAGCTAGCAGTTTATTTATAATTTTAGAAAATTAAATAGAAATTAAGGTTGGAAAACTTGGCTGGGAATTTAAGCACAGCAAAAATCGAGGAAACTTTGTATGTGTATACAAACATGGACCTATAATATTGACTTCCTCCACAGATTTATTTAAGCTTCCAAAACCCCAAAATATTGATATTTTAATCCTTTTTCGGTTAAAAAATGCGGCTATGAGCTCCGAAAATTAGGGGTCCTATATATGGGGACTATGTAAACATATGGACATATATGGATCTATGAAGTAAATGATCCCTATTTGTCCAAAATCCATAAATGGCAAATTTTAGCCTTTTCGGTTGGAAAAAAATGACTGAAACACTCAAAATACCGATATGACCTTTATGTTCATTTATGTGAACCTCCAAAAACCCGAAATTCTTTTTCGATTGGAAAATGGGGTTACAAACATCAATATACCGAATTTGTACATGACCTTTATATGGAGAATTCGTCAAAATATGGAATTTTCATATGCTACGTAGACGTAGGGTAAAAACATACAAAATCTACACTTCAATATAGGTTTATTAGATTATCACAGGCGCCGGACCTATGCGTTTGAGCCCGAAACAAAACAATAATTGACTGTGGGGATATTCGAAGATAAACCAAATCAAACAAAAGATGCTTCTTTATTCGGGAACATTTATTTATCTCAACTATTCGTAGCACTTCGAATAGCGAACAAGAGTAGTCCAATCATTGTGCACTATGACAATGCAAACAATATCGACTCAAATCAGAGCCTTTTTAACTAACCAAAACTTAATGGGCCAATAGGGTTGCCAGATTCCGATTCGCAAAAAATCTGGACATGAAATTTTGAAAAGCATGAGAAAACAAAAAAATGATGGACATAAAATACGGAAAAGACGAAGGATATTAAATTTGTCATTCCGTTTGCAACACCTTGAAATATTCACCGTAGATCCACAAAGTATATATATTCTTGATCTATGTCGATTTACGCATGCCCGTCTTTCTGTCCGATAGAGATCGCAATATTTAAGATAGAGCTCTGATATGTTTTCCAACCGAATTGGCTTTTATTTGGCATTTTGGATTTTCATAATAGCACATCTCCGTACCAAAAATTATAAATATTGATCCAAGTTTTAGGGTAGTCCCATATAACGGTAAACCTTCGATATTCGGTAATTTGGGGACTTCAGACAGATTTTGCAACCGAATTGGCTGTAATTTAATATTTTGGATTCTCATTGAATAACACATACCCATACATTAATATATTAATATTGGCACACGTTTAGGAGTAGTCTCCATATAAATCTTACTCTCTAATATGGGGATTTTTGACAATTTTAGATATTTTTATTTTTCTCACTTTTCGCTATGTCCAAGGCTCTATCATGAGCTTTCTGCCCATTATTTAAAATATTTTGATTGCCATTATCATGGTGGAGGGTATAAAAAAATTCGGACGGACCGAAGTTAGCATCGTTTTTACTTGTTTTTATTAAAATTACACTGTTCAAAAGTATGTTAAAGTAAATATTATCCTGGCCTTTCTTCTCGGAATATTTCTTTCGAAGAACATATCCTTGTTTTGTCTCCAGTTCTTCTGAGTCGGGATTTTTTGACATCTAAATATTCTACAAAGATGTAGCTCACAATATTTCAGATACGGCTCTCAAAGACCTTGTGTTGGCTGTGTTATCCACCCATATTTATACATTACTAGCGGGCCCGGCAAACGTTGTCTTGCCTAGCAATATAGTTGATGTAAAATTTTCGTCATTTTAGGTTGGTTTTTATACCCTCCACAGATTTTTGTAATACCTCGGTATTTGTCCGAACAAACAGAAAATAACATTACAGTACTGAATATCTAAAATTTTATGTTTATGAGCCATTTTCTATTTTTGTCTTCTAAAGTTTCGTTGATTAATAATTGAATTCGTGGAAAATCAATTTAAATTAAAATCATTTAAATGCACATATAAGTTTGACTTCCGGATTTAATTACATTTTCCCCAATATATTTATTAGACTTCCATATAACGGTAGCGTAATATTAAATTAGCTTTTTATACCCTCCACGATTCAATATAGAACTTTGAAATTTGCACATTTCTACTACTACTACTCATAAAATATTTGGTATTGAAAACGTTACATTTTCGTTCAACAGACTTCTAATTTCAACTTCTAATTTAATAATAGGTATACTACAACTAATACTGTCTAATTGAGATGATCAATATTGGCCCAAGAATTCGAATATCCCCCATATACCTAAAATTTGGTATTTGGCTGTATTTTTATATTCGCCCAAGCCTCCAAATATCGCCTATATAATAGTACTCCACATTTTCGATGCTATGGGGGATTTGTGCACGTTTTAAATATAATCGGCTGTAATTTGCATATATACATTGTAGTAGCTGTAATATATCATTCCGGGATGGTAAAACATATTTTTGCGGAAACAATTCTATTTAGAACCAAGATTTCGTATTGTAAAGACGTTGAGGAATTGGGTTGGCCTAACGTATTAAAAAGGTGCCATAAATATTTCCCGTTTAATTATCGGTATGTCTGTAATTTTGACATAATTTTTTCAGAGCATGGACAACTTACTACCACATAATGCTGAAACATTGTCCCCGCCGATTTAGGGAATCTACAAAGTGCGAAGTGTTGTGTTTATAAGTTCAAAGACATTAACCAACGATTAGAAGAAGATTTGATATTTCTCGTGACGTTGCAACGTTTTAGGTACTATAAGGATCAACATGTCCCTATTATTATTATTATTTTCAAGAAAATAATATAGGGCATGAATCTTAGAATCAGAACACTATTCCGACTTTCTTCTGATTTTCATCCTTGCATTTGTCCCAAAATTTACGTGGATTTTATAGAAAACCGTGTACATACTATGATCGCGTGTACATTCAATAATATTCTTCTCAATTATTTTTTGAATTCTCACAAAAACAAGTTTAGATACAATGTCAATCCAATGGAAATTGAAAATTTTCAATAATTGACAAATGAAGGCTTATAGGATTGGTCGCTACCAATTCTAGCCCAAACTATCTCAAAAAGCAACTACGACGTGGTGCAATCAAATAGCTTGATACAAAATTCGTGGAAATGCAAATATGCTTCATAGTTTTTTTTTTTGCAAATTTTCCGCGGTTTTCAAGACTAAGTTCTGATAAATCCGTTCAGCCGTTGTCGAGTTTTAGCGAGACTAATGAACAGCAATTCATTTTTATATACATACATATATACAATAGTTTTTTCAAGGGAATGACAATCCAATTGATTGTAGAAAATTAACATATTTTGAGAATTTTCCATAAATGACAATTACTTAAAGATATTATACGCTGCCGATTTTCGACCAAAAAAAGGTTCGATATAAAATGTATGGACATTCTAATATCTTTCAAAATATATTTTGCAACATTTTCGCGGATTTTTCTCAAAATGTTCTTTCATTAAAACCTTTCCACTTCAATTACAGACTACTAACAGAAACGGTAAGTCAAATCGTCCAGCCGTTTCTTTAAAATAATTTTTGCAAGATTTTCGCGGATTTTTCTCAAAATGTTCTTTCATTAAAATCTCTCCACTTCAATTACAGACAACTAACAGAAATTTTAGATCAAATCGGTCCAGCCATTTTTTTAAATAATTTTTGCAAGATTTTCGCAGATTTTTCTTAAAATTTTCTTTCATAAAAACCTTCCTACTGTAATTACCGACAACTGAAAGAAACTTTGAGTCAAATCGGTCCAGCCGTTCTCAATTGATGAGTTAGTATACATTTTTATGGCTCCATTTTTATATATATAGATTTAAAATATTCCAAATGAATCGGATTTTTTCAGATTGCCTTAAAATTGTTGTAAAAAATGCTTGAAGGCCCCAATCAAAAGTTGTTTGCCTGTAGAAGGGCCAAAGATTCTTGTGAAGGTTTTATTTAAAGATACCCTCTAAAATCTATACTTCAGTGCTTCTCAAAATTTTCAAAGTAATGTTTATTATATAGAATATCGTACCCTTCATAGAAGAACTTCAAGCGCACCTCTCTACAAAAGAGATGCCAAATGTTTCTAATCTATACAGGACCTTCTAAGAGGCTGCACCGCCGACTTCTAAGGAATATGTTACAGGGGATTTCTAAAAAGTTAATCTAATATAAATTATGGGAACCCCATTTGTAGAAGTCTGCAAAGGGTCTGTTTTATATAGAAGACCTATATAAACGCCAATGTCTTATAGTCCTTCTGCTCGTCAATTTATAAAATTCTGGCTCTTCAGCTACTTAAGACTATATACCTATACTGACTTACATCCACACTTAAACACAACAAGACAAGATTTTTTGATATCCAAAACTTCTACAAAAATGTAGTTCACAATAATTCAGATAAGGGTCTCAAACACTTTATGTTGGCTGTGATGGCTTCTAGTATGTTTTCATTGTCCTGTCCACTTTTTCTGTTCAAAGTCGTAGATAGTGAAAAGCAGACTATTCAATCCACATAATCAGCAATATTTATACTCTATTTAGCTGGACAAATTAAATTTTAGCTTGAAACTGGACAAGCATCAACAAATCTGGACAATCCAGACAACTCCAGCCTGGCAACCCCACTTGCCACCACTGTTTTTTTATTCCCCGACATCACAAAACTTCTTATAAAACGCCAATATTGTATAATTTTTTATTTGCTAATAAAAATGTACGAAACTTAACGACATCGTACGATTCTAAATATTATAGCGGTTCTTGATAGGTGTAACTATAGCATCTGGTGCCTTCTTAAAATTGTTTGGTATACCAATTCTTGTAAACTTTTTCTGATGTACAATCTGTTAATAGCGTACTAGTAACATTTGAAAGTACAATAGCGTTTATCGATTTCTTTATAAAAATAAATCGCATGTCTAACGATTACTTTCAATTTCTTTATATTCCAGATCAGAAGATTTGGCGAAACGCGACGATTGGTTAAGTAAAAATGCTGTAAATGTTACCATGAATTTACTTTCATTTATATTGCCAATGATATTTGAGGCGTTGGGGCTATTCGAAAATTGGCATCCTCGTCAACAACTCCGCTTACAATTGGCCAGGTACAGTAGCAAAATATAAAACCATAAAGAAACACATAATAATATTCACTGTTTAATGTTTTTTTTTTTTTCAGAATTATGATTTTGAATTTACTCACCCTGTATTCGTTGATGTTTTCGTTCATCTATAAAATCGACAAAAAAGAAGGGCCACTTGTCGAAATGAAACTGCTAAATGATACTGCAACAGCTCAATTGGAGGATTTAAATCGCAGATGGGAAATCTATAAAAATATGACAGCCAATTTGAATGGCACTACGGAGCTGGCCACGACAACAGAAACGGTAATGCTGACAACGGCCAAAGTGGCAACAAAACTCGTCTGTCGTAATGTTACAAAATACTGCACCAAACAATGCCAGGGGATCCAGGGACTTCCAACAACGGCAACAGCAGGAACAATGGCCGCAGTGGCCACCACAACTTTGTTGCTCTTAAATCTCACCACAACCACCATGATACCACCAACAGCAACGACAACAGCTTTGGTAACAAATGCTACAAGTCCCATTATGACGACCACAACGGAGATGAGTACCGAAGCAGAAACGACATGGGCGATAACAACTACCACCGAAGCCAGCACCACCGTAACACCATCGGACACGACATATTCCAGCACATTGGACATTACGACTACAACACCACCTGCCAACAGTCCCTTAACAACTCAGGCTACAACTGAACCAACGACCGAAGAAACTACCATCTCTACACCAGCAATAACATCAACGACAACAACCGAATATCCTGGAAATGATACACTCTTTGAATATTATGATTATTTCGCGGGGATGTCATTGGAACACCAACTGGTCGATGATGAGCTGAACAAAGCCACTACAAGTGAAGATAAAAAGAAAAGAGCGGCCAGAGCTCACAGGCGGAAAAAGAAAAAGAAGTCCCATGCAACGACAGGAACAACTCCTTTGAATGAAATATTCAAAACCACAGTGGAACCTTATTCCAATGTCAGTCCCGAACAAACACCGAGAAAATCGAAAGGAAAAAATAAAATTTCTAGAATCAAACGAGCCCAAAGTGTTCCGCCATCCAGATTATTGCCTAGATCAAAATACAGTCGTAGGGATTCCAGTGGTACGACAACAACAATAAGCACAACTACACAAACCAATGAAATGACGACATCAACCACAGAGGGCACAACATTGGCCACAACAACCGAAGATAATACAACGCCATATCCCACAACAAAGGACACCACAGCAGCGGACACCACAACATCGACCGATTTCAGTGCATCAACGCCGCAAACCACTACTGCCAAGGAGATACTTTGGGAAGAAAATACGCTGCTCAATGAAGTTTTAGATTTCTTTACCACAAATGCTACGACACCTAGACCCGGTGGAAATACAATTCGACCACAAGAAGATCCATTAATCAATGACTTGACGACCAAACCATTCTTCGAAGATGATAGGACTGTTATTTACAATCTGGAAGATATGCCAAATGGCACCATGTATGTTTGTTGGGACATGGAGTGCACCCCAGAACTGGTGACAGATGACGATAATCAAAACACTTCATTGGACATGAACATTTCGCGACCCATAACAATGACAGAAGAGTTTGAGAAGAACTATACGGAAATTATGAAAACTTTGAAAAGGGTCGAATTAAGTTTGACCACAATGTGTTGGGAAACATCTTTGGGTCAGGAATTGGCCAAAGTTGTGGTCCTTGATGGGGTAAGTCGTATTAACATTAAATGGTCTAAAATTGTTTTTGGATTAGATATCGGAATTTTTGATTTCTAATATGGGAAAATAATTGAATACCAAGGACTTAATTCGGGTTCGATGTAAATATGGATTATTAAAAGGTATACAATTTTGGTCTAATAATGAGAATGTGAATGTCAATGCTATACAGAAATATTTCCGCTCCGTTTATTGAACACTTCAACAGCACCTTCTGGCGACGTTAATTTCACATTCATTCGCAATTTTCCCCAATAAAGAAGTCATTAGATGTTCCATCAATTCCACCTTCGTAGGCGATGTTTGAGAGCTCGCATAAAATTTTGTCCATGTTGTTATATATCTACCGCGTAACTTTAGAAGGAGGATAAATCTAGCGCATCTCCTACTGAACACCTCCCGTACAAACACAACGACGGATATATCCTGCCTCTAATTAAAGCATTAAATCCTGAATACTCAGACAAACCAGGGCAGATGTCTAACTTCACCATAGTATATACACTGAGCCACTAGATGAGTGTGTCTTCAATTCCACCAAGCTAACGTCACCCGACTATTGCAACTTCCATTCCATTTACTTAGACAAAGGAAGTGAACGGGTTAGCACAATCATAAAAAGTGGCTAGAACATCTGAATTGCAGTAACATCAGTACCGGAGTGAGTAAATGGGTGTGGTGGTCCCGTTACGTAAGCCAATGATGCCAGCAAAAGTGAATCATACAAGCCGATCTCACTTTTATCGTCAATAGCTAGGTTAGTAGCAACTCGTAAGACTCTTTGCTACTACCTAGCGTTCGTGAATGCGCCTCAATTGCTGATAATCTACATGGATTCCGGTAGCACCACCGCACAACAAAAGCTTTAAACGCCATTTACACGCACATAACGGAAGGACTCACCTGAACGGGCCGTGAAATATGGCTCTACCTTTGTGAAATTCCACGTCCACCGGATGGCATAAATATCGTTACGTACGCGGATGATTGTACAATAATGGCGCCAGGACCCAAAATTGATGACATATGAGAGAAGCTGAACAGCTATTTCGTGTATATAGCTGATTTTCGGGGGAAGAATAGGAAATATCCTCCACTAAGTCAACACTGTTTACACATGGACAGCGGAGATGGGGTGACGAAGATCCTTACTGTGGGTCAAAACAACAGGATGTTGTCGATGCAATATCAGCTATCCAAACCATCACCTTAGCCTTAGAGAGAGGTCCAGAGGTACAAAAGGGAGGCTTTGAGGAAGCAATTTAAGAATATAAATTGAATACTCGATAGAACACCCGTCTATGATATCAATAGAAGAACAGCATCTAACACCATGAACCGGAGTGGTCTTTGTACAACTGAGATCTGGATGGCGTATCCGCCTCAATTCATATTGGGCATGATATACAATATTGGTATGGTGGGCAATATATGCCCGGCATGTGGTAATTAATGGTCCACGTGACACGCTACTCTTCTTCAAGTTCCCAGCTAAATCCACACATATAATTCCAACTTCACTTCGGGCACAACCTGTACGGATCGCAGCCTTTTTGAACCTGGAGTTAGAATCAGAACCAGATTAAAGGAAGAATACACAGTAGTATAAGCTGCTACAATTAGAACAAATTTCATTTTATGAAGCAAGCCCACAGAGGTCGAGATTGATTTATACCATATAGTTCATACATGATCAAGCCCCAATCGCTCCTTAGCCACTTGGTTTGCATTTTCGTCTTTATCGAAGAAAAACTGTAAAATGTACCGAATTGTCTATTCGTACACTTCCATTTTTAACACCCTGTAACTCACAACTGAAACAGCAAAATATTTTTTTTACTGCGAAATTTGTAAAAATGAAATTTTTTGATCGATACTTTCCGAAAAATCTATCAGTACAGCCATCGGCCGAAAGAATAATTTATTTATTTTTCCTCAACCTAATATATTGGCCCTAAATAGAATCCTGAGAACATCCATTTCGTTGGCAACACATCAAAGATATGCACAAAAATTCCAGCATATAATTCTATGTTGCTTTAACCGCGTCTGCCGGTCTGCTGTGTGTTAGAATTTTGTACATACATTGATATTACACACTGGGTGGCTTTTCTATTGAAAACGGCACCGCCTCATTTCTAATTTGGGTTCTCATTGAGGGTCAAAACGCCGAAATATTGGTCCTAGACCCACCTTTAAGTATACCGATCGTCATATCTCGACTAGCTGAGTCGATCTAGACATGTGTGTCCGTCCGTCCGTCTGTCCATTATAATTTGTAAACACGATACAGGCCACAGTTATGAACCAATCTTCACGAAATTTTGCATGTAGGATGGGTTCTGGCCAATGAAGACCCCTATTGTTTTTGGTAAAGATCGGTTAATATTTAGGGGATGAAATGGACCAAATACTAAATTTTTGTCGGTTTTTCTGGTCGCTCCAGAGGCCGCAATTAAGGCTCAAACATCGTGAAATTTTACATGGAGAAGGGGATCGGGCCAAAGAATAAGCATGCCTGTTTTGATAAAGATTGGTCAATATTTATCGGGTTAAATGGACCCTGACTTTTGTGTGAAACATGACAAAATTTGAATTATATGGCGTGTATATTTACTACTAAAGGATATAGACCCGATAAGTTGATAGTATATTCAAGAGGAGTGGCTGATCTTTAAATTGATACCAATTATATTGTCGTATGTTCTCGGATGTGGGAGTTACACTTAAATATTTACAGGTGCTTTCGTATTCAGATATTATTTAGTAACCCTTACCACACTAGAGGGCGGAAATATAACGCTGATCGATTTGAAATGTTCCATGGGGTTCCAGTTATGGTCAAGGATAACGCCTATAATTATCGTTGATGATCAGATACAAATTTTGGGATGAAGTGGACCGAAAACTTATTTTTTCGATTCGATGTATACAGTTATAAGCCGAACATTACAACACAACCCACGGCTAAAGGAATCTGGACAATATGTTAGTGTAAGAAAGAAGCGTTGTTGACCTCTAATCGGGCAAGAAGGTGCAAATATCACGAAATATTGCCCAGGCTCAAAGTAACCACGGCAGAATGTCAGAGTGCCGTGGTAGTTGTGTAGGGTATCGTATGGTCGGCCCCGTCCGAATATACTGCTCCGCTCACTGGTTATTATTATTTTTTATTTATTTTTTTTACATACTAGCTGAGATAAAGCATCAAGTCGTTTATGCCTCGACTATTTATGTAGTATTACCATATATACATCGATCCATATTTAGAATAATTCCTAACATGCTCATATCCACCGTTAAAAGTTAATAGTAGTCCCCATTATGCCCACTAAATACTCTTTAAATTTCCTCCATTAAATATTCGCTCACACAATCACTTGCCAATAAATCTTAAAGTTAAAATTCTTATCAATGAATTTCAGAAGGATTTTAGGAAAAAAATCAACAACAATTCTAATCAATTTTTCAACACAAAATATGAATATTGTGTTATCATCGATGATAGTCAAATAATGGGGCGTTTCGAAGTATTTGGCTATAAATTTGCCAAATTATGCGTAAAATATAAATACACATGTATTATTTTGCATATCTACATACAAACGTACATACATAGATTACCCAAAACGTTTAGGAGATAAGAATGTAACAGCCATATGTCTGTCGGTTGGTTTACCACGGAACGGAATGAAAAATCGTTATACAGTCTGACTAGGATGAAGACGGTTAACAGACACCAGATTTCCTTTGGGGGTTGTAGCCAAATTTCACTATTCCTGTGAAATGCTGCTGAACATTAGATAAGAACGGCCGTGTTGTTTGTTTAAATTTCTTTTGTTGGTTATTCGACGTTCTAGCCTGAGGGAAAGCGTGTTATCTTTAGAATTTCTTTGTGTAAGGCAATTTTTATTTTTGAAACAAGAGACACACACTCTTGCATACGAATCTGAGTTTCCCATTCGGCCGAAAGACTTAAAGTCATTTGGTATGAAAACAAAATTTGTGTAGCTTAGCTTTGGTCTTGGGGTACGTACATAACAAATTTAACGCTTTGTTTAGTAAATTTGTGACAGCTTGTTTTACAATGGATATCAAAATTCCAATAAGCCATAGCCAAAGATGTATCACCCAAAGATGTATCACCCACCCAAAGGATCGAAAAGGACCGCGAGAAAAAAAGTTTGAAAACATTTTGTAACAATTATTTTGTTATCAATAACACAACAATTTATTGCCTCTTGTGAAAAGGGCCATTTGATGGGTGCGATTGTTTATATTATTCCTAACTTGCTGTACGTGACAGATTTCTCACAAACAATTTTCCCATAGAGTAATAGGAAGAGGGGGGGTCAAACATAAAATTTAATTTGTTATTTTTGTAAACGTACAGATATGGCTTATATGCATATCTGTGTAAATACTAATTTTAAATTAATCGTTTTGCCCCTTTTAAAAATAAAAAAAAAACGTAGCAAATTGTACTGTGAAATTCGATGGTATGAAAGAAGGCGTATTTAATTAGGTGTATGCATTAAATTCAAATACTAGCATATTACAAAAAAAAGAGAAAAAAAGGCTAATGTTGTATCTTTGGAAAGTCTGGAGGAATACGCCACCAAATGTTGTCCGAATTAATAGGATCTCATCGGGATTGGCCACAATTTATTTGGATTCAGGTCAGAATACTTTTTCTTCAAATACTTCTTTTGTAGAATAAGAACTCTCACAAAAAATTATAATAACCACCACGGTTCTCCCGCAGTATTTAAAATTGAAAAATTTTGCAAATAAATTGATATTACTCCTATGAGATTCGGTATTGAAAATAAAATATATCGGTAAAAGCTGTGCTAGCCCGACCATATTTTCACACTCATAAGACGATCAATAAATCATCTTCACAATCTAGAGACGTTGAAAGTTTCGTCCCAAAATTCGAAACAATTCGAAAAAATTACAGCACTATTCGGGTTAAATTTTGTTTC